CTGAGAACATCCTTCAGTGCCAAACTTGTCAGGAATTCTATATAGGTCATCTAAGATGATCCTTAAGCCCATGACTACTGCAGCCCTTGTGGTGCTAGGGGACACCTTAAATATATGACTGCCACAGTCCATACACCGTAGGCTGGAATCCATGGCCTTTGGAGCTGCCATAGGACCATATTGGAATACTGTGACTATGAAGATAGACACAGCACGGGGGCAGGGAAAAAAGACCTAAGCTGCTGAGGCTTATCTGTTGCTGAGGTTTGTCAAACCCAAGGCTACTGCAGTCTGGCAATGGTGATATCACCTAAAACTCAAGTCCACTTGGCAGGGGCTCTATGTTCCCATCTGGCACTGAAGTGTGTCTACAGATTCAAGCCACAGCTACTGACCTGGAGTCTATCCCTGAAAGTCTGTACAGTGCTGAATTTTACTGTGATAAGACTAGTACTGAGGTCACAGGCAAGCTCACATGGTTATTTCCCTCTGTCTCCCTGTATCAGGTGGTATCTCTCTTCATGCTATGCCAGCTAGAGTAGCAAGCAATGTAAAACTATCTTTCCCACCTGCTTTAATAGATCTTTAATTAGTATGTTATGCCAGTTTCTGTGATCTCTCACATAAATTTCCTTAGCTCTTATGAAGGAATTCTCATGTGTGGAGAATTGTTCAAACTGATATTTCAATAGGGGAAAATCACTACAGAGCCCTACTCTACGATCATGTTCTGCCCTCCTCTTTTCCTTTAGTATTTTGTCTATAGTATTCTTTTCTTCTTTGCATATACTTATAATACTGACTATAAGGCTCTTTCTCTAGTAGTACACTGTCTAGTGTGCATTGAGGGTCATTTCTCTCCATTTTTTCCCTTCTATCCATGGGTCAAGGAAATGTTTCTGGTGGGTTTTTTTTTTTTTTTTTTTTTTTTGGTTTTTGTTTTGTTTTGTTTTGCATATGTCATAGCATTTTCAGTGAAACTGGAAAGCAGTTTCTCTCCCTGGAGTTTGTACTTTGTATTGTTTTGTTGTTGATCATTTGTTTAGTAACTTTCCTGGACTCATTTGTTAAAGCCTGCATTATTTCTCACGTATATAAAAAGTCTCTGTTCATTAGCTTAATGGTCAGCTAATGATAGGTCAATGAATATGTCAAACACTAAGAATATGTCAAACACGACTTTTCAAGGGTGTGCGTGTGTGTATGTGTGTGTGTGTGTGTATGTTTTCTGGCACATGTTCAATGGTCCAGCAGGCTATTTACAATTCTACATTCACCTTTACTTTCTGCTGGAATGCAGCCTGAAATTCAGCCAGAAATATAAGCTATCACAGTCTTCTTCATTCTTTCCTTAACACGTACACAGTAATGGACAAATGTCCAATCTTATTCATGCATGTGGCCTTCTCTTTTCCCACTAAGATAATCTACATTAAAAATAAAATGGGCATTTCATTCCCCACACTTTTTTCTTATGAGCTCCAGTTGCTCTCACAGTCTGAAGTAGCTATGATATCACAAAAGTGCCCCATGGTTAATGTTGTCCAGAGCAAGGTCTGAGTTGCATGAAATAAACACAGTCTTATGGAGAAACTTGTTTGGGGAGCTGTCACACAGTTGAAATAATGACAATTTTCTGGGGATGGAAATTTCAGGCACAAAAGGAGGAAATCCTTCCTTTCTGGAGTGGTTGCTAGGTTTCTGATTTTTAGGATTATCGCAGTGTAAGATATTTGACGTTCAAGGCCACCACACAGTTGCACAAGTAAATAACCTCAATACTCTCTCTTCTTCCCAAGATTCACTCTTTTTTTTTTCTTCAGTAATACTCATAGATTGTTGCAAAGTTTTTAGTTCCAGAATTCTGAAATGGTTGTTTTTCACAAGAACTGTTACTGTTCTCATGGCTTTGACTGAGGATCAAATTTTAATCCCCTTCATTATTCTGAAACTGCTTCCTTGCTTTTAGGGTTTTCTGTAGAGATATACGATTAAGTTAAATAATTGAGGCCAGGTGTGGTGGCTCATGCCTGCAATCCCAGCACTCAGGAGGCTGAAGCAGGAGGATCACTGCAAGTTCCAGGCCAGCCTAGGCTACAAAGTGAGCTCAAGGCCAGCCTGAACTGTGTAGTGAGACCCTGTCTCAAAAAGACCAAATAAATAAGTAAATACATTGAATAATTGAATTTCTTATCCTGGATCATTATTTTCACATTTATCATGGATAGACAAGTGGTTTTTCACATACTATACAGCTGATATGGAGATAATCCCCCCCATATTCTATTAATAAGAAGTATGAGGAAGAGTGAGAGGCAGAGACCAGCCGGGACCACCAAGCTTATGTAAAAGGCAGCATGGTGTGAAATTTATTGTGCCTGGGTGCAGGCAGACAGAGGGCAAAAAGGCTGTCTGTAAGGAACAGAGAGACTGTGGGCCTTTTTAATAAGGATTAAAAGAAGGTAAGGGACATTTGGTGGGAAGATGTTAGTAAATAGCAGTGGTCAAAGCATTCTGTTTTGCACCCCAGTGGGCAGAGTTTTTGAGGCGTGAGGTATAAAATTTTAATATCTCCAGATGTCCGGGGATGGCGAGTTTCCTTCTCCTATCTTATCTCTTTTACCACATCTTGTGCTTGCCAAAGACAGCCTTAGGGCTGAGGACTCCACTGAGAACAGTGCCTCTGCTAGCAAACAGGTTGGGTGCTGGGAGAGTTAGTACAATCCGAACCTTACATTTTGTTGTTGTTGTTGTTAATATAAACAAAAAGGAAAAAGAAGAAAAAGGAAAATGGGTACCAGTTCTCATGGCTGCTTCCTGTGTGGCACACGGGCTAAGTGCAACCTATGGGGACCTGCTTCCTATCAGGGGGAGGGGAAGAGCAACAGCTGTTACTCAGTGATTGTTTGGATACAGTTTTGTAAGAACTGGAACAGGAGTCTGAAAAGACAGGACCAGAACAAGAGAAGGAGGGTTATACAGACCAATGGTCTTGCTAAGGGTTATACAGATCAACAGCCCTGCTAATGAGGCCCATCTGAAGGATTTGTAAGAGGGGCTGTAGAGAAGGAGATTGTTTACATATTGTATGCAGTGGGAGACGGACAGGCAGAAAGGAGAGTAAATCAAGGGCGAGGGCCTGATGGAAGTAAAGGCTAAGCAAGGTTGTGTGGAGGCATGTAAGGGAATAGTAAAGAAGGTATCTTTCAAATCTAGTGTTAATGGGTAGTAGATGGGGGATAGAAGATAAAAGGATAAATGGGTTGGGCAGTACAGGATGGATAGGAAGGACTCTCTGGTTGATAGCTCAGAGGTCCTGGACCAATGTGTATGTGCCATCAGTCTTTTGAACAGGGAGGATGTGAGTGTTATGTGGAGTTGATAGGGACCAGAAGACTGTGTTGGAACAGGTGAGAGATAATTGACTTTAGTCCCCTCAGAACCTGATCAGAGACTGGGTGTTGGTGCTAGGAGGGATAGGGTGATCTGGCTGTAATGGAATGGCACGAGGTGTTTTACTGAGAGCCACAGAAGGGGAGGAGGTATTCTAGACACTAGGATTCAGCTCTGGGGAGGTAATGGGAGCTTTGGGTGAGGCTGGAGAAGGAAAGAAGAGAAAGGCTGAACTGACAGAAGGGGTCGCATGAATTGTTTAGGTAATACTGATTTAATGGGAAGTAAGTCATATACTGAGTGGGCATGGAGAGATTAAAGAACTTTTGAGGTAGGTGATGAGCTAGGGGTCTTTGTTGTCCATTGAGGTGACTGATGTTTTTCTAGACTTTATTAGACCAGGTGTTATCGTTTATCTCATCTCGTGGGGATATATAAGCCTTGTGTTGTTGTTGTTTATCTTGAGGCCTGGATTTTAGCTGATACGTCTCCGGCTGCAGTGGTAGTATAGACAAGGCCAAAGCATAGTGAAGTATGCATGGGCCAAACAATAAAATCAACAAAATCAACAAGACTGTTATGAATATAACCAACAAATATTTCACTAGCAAGACCCAGGAATAGCCTTCAATAAGGAGGAGGAGAAGGAGAAGGTCTAGGGAATTTTAGAATCTGATATGGCCCTAACATGTCATCTAATATCTTGAATAGCCATAGAGATATTAAAAGGATCAAGAATGTATACACAGCATTCAGCTTTTATAATGGCAGAAGTATTTTCTTGCACTCTTGTTATAGTATCTAATGTCATCTAATTTTGGAGGACAGCTTGCCATATGTGTATATATATATAATTTAATTTAGGAGGGAAAGGAATCAGTCATGGTGTCTTTTACAGTGAATAACTGCTATTTTGGAGGGCATATAAACAGATAACAAAAGTTTATATTTTTTGATGATATTTTTCTGCTGGGTGTTCAAGACCAAGTTAAAATGAGACCTGTATTAATTAAAATTGACTTTTCACTGTCTACCAAGGCCAAGTTAGCCTCTTAAAGTATTACTCTTGGAACCAGGTACAGAGCTCTCAGATCCTCTGTCACTGTCCACTGCCAGTGTGTGTCACAGTTTTGCTTCACAGACCTTTTCGTTGGTGACTTTGCTTAGGCACACTGCATATCTTTGTTGGTTTCTGTCTTCTGGGGTCCACCAATCTCCTTGCTTAGGAGTTTATGATCCTGTAGAAAAGTTTCTCTCACGTCCTGGGTCTCTGCTGACCTTGGAGGGCAGGACAAATATTGGCTGTTCTCTCAGCCCAGTTATGTCTCTAGTTTTGACCTCTAAACTTTAGTTGCTGAATACCCAGAAGAGAAGATTAGTGATATCAGTTTTAGTTAGCAGATGTAGAACACAAGTGTAAATTATTTTTGATCGTGATTGTCCCCCGTTAAAGGCAAACAGTTGTAAGCGTTATAATTTAACCTCTTAGAGGGAAGGCCGTTTTTAATCAAGGATGTGGAGTTCACTTTTGGCCAGTGGGAGAAACACTGGGGTTTTAAGAGTCTGAAGAGAAAGAAATCAGGTACTGGCTGACCCGGAAGAAGTCTGACCGAGACGAACAGGAGGACAAGGGGGCAGCAGTTGGGGCTGGACGTGTGGCAAAGTGCCCAGCGGCCGTTGGGAGAGCGAGTGGGAGGTGGGAGAGCGAGTGGGAGGTGGGAGAGCGTGTGAGAGTGTGAGCAAGGTTAAAGGAGCAGCAGGTGGCCTGAGCCTTGGCTTGGTGGGTGCAGGCTGGGCGAGGATCAGTTCGCTAGGGGAGGGGGGCAGCGGGCAGCCAGTGTGGCAGCAGCTGAGAGGGAAGAGGTGGCGCGGCGCAGGCCGGCACCAGGAAGAGGGGTTGCCATGGCCTGGGACGCCCCGGCGGGGCAGCGAGGGGTGTGTTCCGCCGCACTCGGGGTCCTGTGCCATGCAGGCTCATGTTTTTCTTACCCGGGCTGGGCTCAGGAACGCGGACTGCGAGCTGTGTTCGCGGGCACTGTGGGCAGCTGCTAGGCACCGGAGCGAGGGCCGCGGGTGCAGGCGCTGTGTATACGCGCAGCTGTTGGATCTTGACTTCTATGGCGACTCGTGTGCCCGCTGTGCGGTGTTGTCAGGACTGTGAGGAGGGTGGCGAGCGGGCTCAGGGCCGGGCAGGCTGGTCATGTTGGGCTCGGGCCTTTGGCAGTGTGGGCCCCCGGCCTGGCCCGGGTCGGTGTAGCTGGCACACAGGAGCTCCCAGCAGGGCCCCTGGGGGCGTGTCTCAAGGCAAATGGCAGTGGTGGGAGGGAGTCAGACGAGGGAAAAGTCAGGAAGGATTCGGCCTGGGAGGGAAGCGGAGGGGGTGCCTAAGGAAGGAAAAGGAGGAGGAAAAAATTAGGGTTTCTAATTTATTAGTAGTGGGAGAAAAGTCCAGACCTGTAGCTCGACCCTTGATGGAGGCTTAAGAAAGGGCTCTGATAGCATCGTTTCAGGTCACTCTGAGACAGAGGCCACCTGGTGATCACTGAAAGTTGCCTTTCACCTTCCTTGGGGAGTGCAAGTGGAAACAATAGGTAAGTGGAGCCTGTCTACTAATTACCCCCTGGAGAACTAGCTTCCAAGGGTATCGGCTGGAGGGCTGCCTCCGCCATGACCCCTCAGTTCTCACTAGTTCTGCACAATCAGAGATCTGTCTTTTTTTTTCACTTTTTTTTTGGTTCTGGGAATCGAACTCAGGACCTTGTGCTTGCCAGGCAGGCGCTTGTGTCGCTCAGCTATATCCCCAGCCCTTCTGAAAGGAATCCACTTGCCCATCTGGTCAGCATTCCCATTGGCCGTTGGTGTCAATGGGGACTCACTGTGGGTGATGGAAAAATCTGTCCTCTGCTGTGAGAGTGGCAGCTGCCCTAAAGGCAATTACTAGCTGGTAGGGTAACCACTGTTTGGTTTTAGTATTCTATAAGGGACAAATAAAAACTGAGCTGAATACAGATGAGATTTTATAAAAAGACCCATTTTACAGAATTTTATCGAAGTCCACTAGGTGGCACTTTAAGGTTACTTCTCTGTAGTGCTAAGATAAGGTTAAAAACCACAGCAGTCACAAGTCAAACAGTTCAAGTAAGTCTAGATGTAACATATGTAAAAGTGGAATGAATACCAGACCTTGTCCACAAGACTAAAACATCCCTTTAACAAAACATCATAAAGTGATTTACAAAAGGCACCAACAGTAGCAAACAAGAATGACAATTACGATTACCTACTTCAGCAATCAAGCAATAAAAGTGAACTCTTATCTCCTATTCATTCTTTATTTTGCAAAATGGAAAAATCAAAAGTATTGTGCTCTAGTCACTGAGAGCCATTGTCTAGCGGGCAGGTTGGCCATGCCATGTTACAGAAAAAGATCAGCCACATGGGCTTCAGATCAGGAGAGAGGTGGAGAAGGAGGAGATTATGCAGGAGGCAGGCTAGCGGGGCAGATGGACGGTTCCCCACTGGAGTACAGAGAGGTGTGGGAGAGCAGTTGAGTCTTCCGGTGGATGTCTCCAATTGGGACCCAAAGCCATGAAACGTGAGCAAGTGAGCAAGGCAAACCTCTTTGTGATTGCTCAGATGCTAAAAGGAAGCAGCCCTTCTTGGAGTGTTTTTTGAGACCAGTGCTAGAGTTTAAAGAGCACAAAAAGCAGGACAAGCCTCTCTGACTTTATGGGGGAGAATAAAAGGCAGGCAGGCAGGAAGAAAGAGGGAGAGAGAGAGACTAGGGGACTTACGTGACCTGAAATGCCCAGCGAGACCTGGCATGGCAGAAGTGGCAGAAGCTGTAGGGATCAAGGTCTGAGGATCTTTCCAGGCAGTCTCTGCTGGGGTGGAGGTTCAAGAGAGCTTAAAGCCTCTCACTGCCCCAGAAAGCTTGCCTCCCTCCCAGGTCTCAGCACCAGATATAAGGAACAGTGAGAGGTAGAAACCAGGTGAGACCACCAGGCTTGTATAAAGGAAGCATGGCATGCAATTTATTGTGCCTGGGTGCAGGCAGACAGAGAGTGAAGGGACCCTCTGTAGGGAACAAAGAGAAGTAGGTCTTTTTTATAGGTATTGAAAGAAGGCAAGGGACATTAGGCAGGAAAATGTTAATGCATATCAGTGGTCAAAGTTCTCTGGCTGTCTTACACCTCAGTGGGCTGTCCTTGAGGTGTCCAGTGTAAAACAGTGTGTCCAGATGTCCAGGGACCTGCAAGATTCCTTCTGTCTTATCCCTTGTACTACATCCTGTGTTTGCCGATGACAACCTTGGTGCTGAGGTGAGTCCCTGCTGAGACCAGTGCTTCTGCTGACAAGCGGGTTGAGTGCTGGGAGAGTCAGTCCAATTCGAGCCTTATAAGAAGTAGTCTCCAGACTTAATTTGTGATGTTAAATGAGCTATATACATTGTTGAAAGAAACACCAACTTATTCACTACCTATCCCTATGTTTATCTATGACAAAATTCACTGGGTAAACTTTTATGCTTATGTTTATATCAAGATTTAAATAGAGTTTTTTATTTAATCATTTTGTCATATTTTCATATCATAAATTTACAGTGAATATCAAACTGTTGTTGAAAACAGAAAGGTCTGTCAGTGTGAGTGTTGCAAACAAAAGTCTTGAAAATAAAAGTGGCATGATCACTGAGTAGAAAGAATTTTTGTTCTGAATGTGAACTACAATTCAACAAGGACAGGCCAACCCAGAAGGGAGGCACAAATGCACAACAAAAGATACAAAGTTAAAAGGTAGCCAGCAGCTGTACTAGAAAGAACGGAAAGAGTTCACAGGTGGCCTCCCACAGCAGGTTCTATTTATGCTGGAGGCATTCCCAAGGCTGTTTTCCGCTTGTTCCTATGTTTTTGGTTTTGTTTGGAGGGGTTGTTTTTGTTTTTGCAGTAGTAGGAATTGAGCCCAGAGCCTTCACACTGAACTATATCTCCAGCCCTTTTTAATTTTTATTTTCACACAGCATCTAGGACGCTAAATAGCCCAGGATGGGCTAAAACTTGTGATCCTCCTGCCTCAGATTTCCAGACTGCTGGGATTATAGACATGTGCCACTGCATGCAGCTTTTTTTTTTTTTAACAGTCAATTACACAGTGATGATCTTAGCAACTGAGCAAACAGGAACAACACGCTTTTTACAGAAGTACAGACAAAGCCTCATTAACTATCTCTCCCAGGGTTCATATTTCAAAATGACATGAACTTGGACTTTTGACTTAATAAAAATTAAATTTTAGCCGGGGATGTGGTTCAGCGGCACAAGCGCCTGCCTGGCAAATGCAAGGTCTTGAGTTCAATTCCCAGTACAAATAAAGAAATAAATAAATATTAAGTTTTTACATATTCAGGAAGAAATTAAGGAATGAAATGTTAATTATACAGGTAAGTCCCATGGCTCACAATGAATTGGCATTATTCATATGACTAGAAAGCACACTGCATATTTTGCTTTGTCTTTGCAGTGGTATGGGGGCTTTTTTAATAATGTGTTAAAAGTAAGCTCAGTTGCTGAGGTGCGGCTGCAATTTCTTTAGACAGGCAGAGAGAATAAAGGGGTGGAGAGTAATGACAATGGTCTCGGAAAACAATTCCTTCCTGTCTCAAAATCTTCTATAAAAAGCAAGATGTATGACAGGCCAGCTCAGCCCTGCGGCACCCTAAAGGACCATCCATACAGTCTCTCAGCAGTTACACCCCAGAGGTCATTTCACTGTTCCTCTTTCCCCCAGGTGAAGGAAACATCTAGAATTTACTGGTGGAGCTGACCTCCTGCCTGGTAACCGCAGCTCCTCCTGCTGGTGGTCCGCCACCCAGCTGACAAACAGATTCCAGCTACAGTTCAGGCACCCATTTTCCTGACGCTATGAAGCTGACCAGCCTCTCCCTGCTGGCCTTGACCATCCTACTTTGCCTCCACATGGCCCAGCCTGGGATACGGAAGAATGGAAGTAAGGCTTGGTGGCCCAGGGTGGGTTTGCGGTCGGGAAGCATTTCCTCTGAAGAGCCCATGGGAAGAGCTGGTGCTGAAGCCCGAAAGCACCTGATCAGTGACTGTGTGGCTTTTTTGTTTTCTTTTCCTTCAGCTAAATGGAAACCTGGATATTGCCCGGAGTTTTATCTTGAGTGTATTTTCAGTGGATTCCCTGGATGCCTGACTGATCGAAGTTGCAAGGGGAACAAGAAGTGTTGCTACTACAACTGCAGACATCAGTGTATGGAACCGTCCTTGTCTCTGGATTGAGGTGAGAAGCCCCAGATCTGCTGGTCTCTACTGCCAGGAACTTTCTCTCAAACTATCTATCTTAGAGGAAGACAAGAAGTGTTTGTACCTCTAAAAGTCACAGCAGTCTGAGCTTTCAGTCAACATTTAAAACTCAGTAGCTTTTCTATATATCAGTAATGAATTAGCTCAGAAAGACATCAGGAAAAGAATCCCATTCACAGTAGCTTTAAAAAAAAAAAAACAAAACCCAGAGATCAACCTAACCAAAGAAGTAAAAAACCTCTACGATAAAATTACAGAGCACTGAAGAAAGAAATTTAAGACATTAGAAGATGAATAGATAGATGCACCTTCCCTTGTGCCTGGATTAGCAGAATTAATAATGTTAAAATGGCCATCTTAGCAAAAGCAATCTACAAATTCAGTGTACTCCCCTTCAAAATTCCAATGGCATTCTTCAAAGAATTAGAAAAAAAAAAAATCCTAAAATTCACACAGAAACACAAAAGACACAGAATAGCCAAAGCAATCCTAAACTAAAAAACAAGGATGAAATCACCACAATACCAGATTTCAAATTATACTAAAAAGCCAGAGTAACAAAACCAGCATGGTACTGACACAAAACTAGAGACATAGACCACTGGAACAAAACAGAGGACACAGACACAAACCCACCTAACTACATCTGGTTCTTGACGAAGGACCCCCAAAATATATATTGAAGAAAAGACAGCCTCTTTAACAAATGGTCCTAGGAAGACGTGATATCCCCTTGTAGATTAAAACTAGATCCCTGTCTCTCACCCTGTACAAAAACCAATTCAAACTAAACCAAAGACCTAAGTATAACGTATGAAACTTTGAGCTAGGTTGGTGGTGCACACCTGTAATCTCACCACTCTGGGAGGCTGAGACAGGACAACCAGAAAAAATGATACTGAAATTGGTTAAATAAATAAATAAATAAGGAAAACACTTGAAGTGATAGGTACAAAAACTTCCTGAGTAGCACTCCAATAGCACTCCAACAGTAAGAATCAACAAATATGACTACATCAAATTTAAAAGTATCTGCACATCAAAGGAAACAACCAACAGAGTAAAAGGACAGTCTACAGAATGGGAGATAATCTTTGCCACCTACACCTCTGACAGAGGAATAATATCTAAGATATATAAAGAACTCAAAAAACTTAACATCAAAAAATTCAATAGCTTTATTAATAAATGTGCAAGTGAACTGAACAGACATGCCTCCAAAGAAGAAGTACAAATGGCCAATAAGTATAAGAAGGAAAAAAATTCAACAATTTAGTCACTAGGGAAATCCAAATCAAAACTACACTGAGATTCCACCTCACCTCAGTCAGAGTGGCTATCATCAAGAATACAAAAAATGATAAGTGCTGTGAGAAAGGAACAATTCTAGGCTACTGGTGGGAATGTAAATTAGTATACCTACTGTGGAAAGCAGTATAGAGTTTTCTCAAAAAAAACTAAAAATAAACCTAATGTTTAATCTGGCCATACCACTCCTTGGTAGACACCCAGAGGGACTGTAGTCAGCATACTGTAGCAATACCTGCATGCCCATGGGTATTGCAACATAGTTCACAGTAACTAAGATATAGTACCAGTTTGGTTGGCAATCAGCAGATGAGTGGATAAAGAAAACGTGATCTGCCCAATTCATTATAAAAAGTGAAATTTTTGTCATCTGCAGGAAAATGGGTAGAATTGGAAATCATCATATTAAGCAAAACAAGCCAAACTCAGAAACACAAGTATTACATGTCGTCCCTACATTAATATGTAGGAATCTAAAAAAGATGACATGAAAGTAGAAGGAAAAAGGCTGGGGATTTAGCTCAGCAGCACAGTGCCTGCCTGGCAAGTGCAAGGTTGTGAGTTCAATTCCCTGTACCGGAAGAAAAACAAAACAAAACAAAACAAAAAAAATCAAAGTAGAAGGCTACTGTTAGACAAGAAGTTGTTAATAAGAAGGAGAGACAGAATAAAGGAAATAGATATGATCAAAATATACACAGTGAAACCCAGTAGTTTTTAAATTAATAGGCACTAATTTTAAACGGAACCTAAAATTAAATAACACAAAAAATAAATAAATTGAGGTACTCAGAGATTTGATGCTCAGCAGAAAGGAAGAAAACCCAATAAGTCATTTTCCTCACAAAAAGCACCATTCATTTAGTGGACTGAATATCATGCTTTTCCTCTGTATGAAAGGGACATTTGGACAAGATTGGCTCTATGGTCCTCAGTGTTATTGATTTTTTATTACAATTTTTTTCAATTGCATTTTTTTTATAATTTGCAATAAAGAAGCATTTTCCACTTCACAGTTAAATTGTGAGGAAAGGGATTATGAGATCATGATTCCTTAGTCTGGCTTGCCTAGAATTCCTGACGTTCAGTCCCTAATACCTTGGCAGTACATCTCAGTACCCTTGGGAGGCCTAGGGATGAAAACTATGTCCCCAGCATGGTGTGTACATTCTCATATCTCTGATTTTTCTCCACTTAGGCGGAAACTTCTTAACCAGGCCCGAGAAGACACTAATGCTATAGGCACAGACTTGGAAAACTGGACCCCAATTCTTCCCTGCTCCTCCCAGGCCTTTCCTGTTATCAAGAATTAAATGCATTCAAGTTAAATAAATATTAATGTGAAAACAAAGAAATAAAGCCCTGTGTATGAGCCCATTTTCTGTTGCTATAACAAACTACTTGAGGTTAAATACTTTCTAAAGAAAAAAGTTGTTGGCTGGGCATGGTGGCACACGCCTGTAATCCTAGCACTCAGGAGGCTGAGGCAGGAGGATCATTGAGAATTCGAGACTAGCCTGGGCTACAAAGTGAGCTCAAGGCCAGCCTGAACTGCATAGCGAGACCCTATCTCAAAAAGACAAAAAAAGAAAAAAGAAAAATGTTGTATTTAACTCATAGTTCTAGAGGTTCAGGAGCATGCCCACGTCTGCTCAGCTTGTGGCAAATGGCACAGCGGTGAGAACACATGAGCGTGGAGAGTGGTTAATGCAGAATAAAGATTCAAGGGAAGCACCAAGCTCCCTTTTAACAACCTATTTTCAGCAGGTGAGTGGATAAAGAAAACATGATCTGCACAATTCATTATAAAAAAGAATGAAATTTTGTCATTTTCAGGAAAATGGGTAGAATGGAAATCATTATTAAGCAAAATAAGCCAAACTCATAAATACAAGTATTGCATGTTGTCCCTATATTAGTATGTAGAAATCTAAAAAAGATGACATGAAAGTAGAAGGGGAATTCGCTAAGTCTCACAATACCTGCATTGATCACTTCTAAAGGTGTTGCTTCCCCAAACCTAATTATCTTCCACAAGCCCCAACCTCCTACAAATCTATCATCTCTCAATATGGACACACTGGAAATCAAACTACCAACACATAAACCCTCGGGGGACAGACTCAGACAATATTCAAACCATGTCACACTGTTATTTAAAATTACATGAGAATCTATAAGACTTCTAAATCTCTCAGTCTGTCTCTCTCTCTTTCTCTCCTTCCCACTCCTCACATCATCACAAACCCTCTTGAGTGATTCTTTAGGATATATAAAATATATGGAGTTACTGTTTTACATTAGATTTTATTCATCTTTGCACTTATAATTTTGTGATAGAGTTCCTTTTACAGTATCTCCTGACGTCCAGATTCTCCATAGGTCAGATTTAAGAGACACTGCAGAATAAAATTTTTATGTTTGGACCTTATGGAAAGCAAACATGTTCTCCTGGGAAGGAGGAGCAAGTTATTTTTGCTGGTTTCTCTGGTACTGGTGCCAGTGGTCTTTCCACCTGTGGATCTAGAGCTAGATTTGAAACTTTGGATTGGAAATGGAGCAGGACATAACTAAAGCCCAGGGTAATTTATGTCCTACGATGTCAGCTATAATAAATTAGGAAGAGAAATTTTTTCTCTTTCTTTTATGACAAAAATATTTCATAAACAAATAATAGGAGAATAACAATTTTGTTCCATGTTATTACATTGTATACAATATCTTCAAAGCAGTTACTCAGTATAAGACATAAGCCAAAAGGATGTTTACAAAGAATAAACAATAACAGGCTTTCTTTTTAACTAACAAAGATAAACTCTCAATATAAATGTAAAAAATTAGCAGTATATATTGAAATATTTTTTAAAACAACAGACTATTCTGGGAAAGTATTGAACTTCTCCCTACTTCCTATTTATCTCTCTTCTATTTTGTTCTTTATTTGTGTATATATTTTTTTCATAAAATAAAAAAGTTCCTCTTTTTAGTATAGCCTACATGTATAGTATTTCTCATATAAGAGAAACCATACCATGTTTCAGCTTGTGTGCCTGACTTATTTCACTTAACATTATGTCTTTAAGTATGTAAACTAGTACAACCACTATAGAAATCAGTGTGGAGTTTCCTCAAAAAACTAAAAGGAGAAATTCCATTTGACCCAGCTATCTCCCTGCTAGGTATCTTCCCAAGAGAGTTAAAATCACCATGTTACTGGGGTACATGCATAGCCATGTTTATAGCAGCACAATTTATAACAGCTAGATCTTAGAAACTGCATATATGT